GTTCCTCAGGAGAGCCCTGCCTAATACAAATGCTAACTGGAAACTGGGTGATGTCAGTTTTCCTTTGAACATTCAACCAAGCAAAGGCACAGTATAAAAGGTAATGGTACAAACTCCCAGAAATGTGACTTAAATTGAAAACAGGTAGTGTTCATTCTAATGAGGAGTCATGTCACAGGACTCTAGACTCTCAGGAAACCACCCTACTCCCCTCAGAGGACATTTTGGTGTTTTGGACTAACATATTTAACACATTTTTGCTGTTTTGCCTTAGTACAATTTCTTTCTCCCTGAGCTGGCAAAGGTATGTGACAGCTCTAATCTAATGTCTCCACAGCTGAAAATTGAGCACTTCCCTCTTGCTCAGGAACCTATTTCAGACATGGCTCTGTAAGCTGTCATGGCAGCAAGTGGATTTTTTGCTGAGTGGCTAACCCTAGCCTGCATGGACACCTGTGAAGATGTCATTGGGTTAATTTCAAACTTCCCCATGTTATAATAAATATTCTTGAGTTGGGAACAAAACATTCCTGTTATTATCATAGCCAAAAAGCAACCCTAAAAAACAATTGAAAAAGAAAACAAAGAAATTGTAAGCCAACTTTGTGTACAAAAGTATGTACATACAATTCTATAATAAAATCCAAATTAAATGCAGCTATTTATGTATGTGGAAGATAAATTTACAGATAATAGATCTTATAGCACCCTACACTGTTTTACAAAATAGATAGTTATGAAAAAGAGTTCCAGGACAAGTTCCAAAGCTACACAGAGAAATCCTGTCTCAAAAAGCAAAAAACAAAAACAGAACAACAACAAAAAACACCTTCATCATTGTAAGACATAAAATGTATTTACATGTTTGGGGGAATGAAAGAATATGATCAATAGATGGTGTGTGGAAAAACTTTTAACATACTTACATGGACTCAGATGTATTTACGCTCCCTAAGTGATGAAATCTTATTAGACAGCCCATGTATATGCAGTCCTTCACTGACCAAAAGGTCATCATCAAAGTTCTACTTAAATTAATTAAATCTACTAAATGCTTCCTCCAAATGCATCTTCTAAATGTGCATTTATGTATGCCTGTGTGCATGTGTGTGCACGTGTGTGATTGCAAGGTAGCATGGGCATTTTCCACAGTGCACAAATGGAGGTCAGAGTTCTGGAGTTCAACTCAGGTTGCTGAGCTTGAAAACAAACTGCCTTTACCCATGAAGTGGTCTCTCTGGCCCCTGGAGAAGTATTTTTAAGGCAATATTGGCTGATGAAGATTTTTTGAAGCCTTGTATGTTTAAATATGCCTTTATTTTTACTTAACATGAAACAATATTTGAAAATTTATTTAAAAAAAAAAACGAAACAAAAACAAAATACCTGTTCCTTGATTCCAGAGACTCATTCCCAAAGGACCAACTGGGAGAATCATTCAAGTGGGCAGAGACTGACACAAAGGAGGATTTGGTGTGTATCTTGAATGTGGTGACCACAGGACTTGTTAATAGACTGGCTGTAAGTTAGGAGAGATGGGATCCAGGAAAAGGTAGCATCCTGGCTTCTGGTCCCATATGTGGCTCTGAGCAACCAGGCACTCCACCAGTCTTCCCTCAGAGACCTAGCAAAACCAGACATGTCAGCAGTGGCCAAGAATTGGCACATGCCCATTGTCGGCATGAGTCTTGAATTCTCCCTGTGCAAGTGTGCTATAGTCCCTAATAAAATGCTAGTGCCTTCTCTGCTTGCTCTTTTCCCTTGCACCCTCACTCAGAGGCAGCCTCTGGGGTCCCCCTGCTGCCAAAAAACCGCTCTCGTCAAGTCTTTAAAAACAAAACAAAAACCTCTTCTTTAAGTTTCTTCACATCAATACTACTACAGTAAGTTATGTGGTCACTCTTGTCAGTATGGTTTCTAGAATAACAGGGTTAAATTAAATATACATTTTTTTTTCTTTTGGCAACATTTATAAAGCCTTCTGTGTGACCGGTACTGTGTGTTTGATGCACAAAGTTAACAACGCATGCTCTCAGGATAAATAGCCCCACATCAGCCAAACACAGGACCACAAATTGTAAAGTACTGTGTGGTTGCACAAGAATATTAATGTGGGGATATTAAACATGCCTGCCCTGCACACTTTACCGCTGAGTGAAACCTCATGCATCTTGTACTGGTACATTGCACATTTGTATTGGAATCATGACTGGTTTTCTCTACCCTAAGGAAACATTTACAACTAAAAGCAATATTAATGTCTCAATAAAACTGTACTCTTGGGAAACTGGTTCTTGCTTGATCACTATTTCTAATAGGCTCTAAAAATTTTTTTAAATCAATCTACTTTAATTTTTGCAGATTAATTGTTCCTAGTTTTTAATTGTTTTTTGAAATATTTATTTACTTATTTATCTCTGGGTTTTTGAGACAGAGTCTTGAATTCACAATCCTCCTGCCTCAGGCTCCCCTTCCTAGTTCTCAGAATATAGACATGTGCTACCATGTCTCAGTTTTATTTTCGTTTTAAATATATATCCTTCAACATTTCTGCTATACTGTGTGCAGCACATTTGTCACCAAGATGCAGATTTGCATAAACACACTTGTTCAGGGCTGACCCTTTGAACACTAGAAAAGGTAAAGCTAAAAATCTCAGGATGAGGAAGGAATTGCTCCTGCTCAGTAGAGGCTGGCTTGCTGGTGGGCAGCTGGAAGATGTTCTGTGACTGTAACTGTGGCAGGAGTCCACCCTCCATCCTGTGCTGAGACACTGTGCTACTAAGAAGAGGATTTTTGTAAAGATTTATGTGCTCACTTTTAAATGTTCTGAGACAGAAAAGAAAAAGATGGTTACTATCTCACTTAAGGGTGATTTCGAATTCAGTCTGGGAAACAGTAGCTCTTCTAATTACATTTTTGGCCTGGCCACTGCCTGAGTCGTTGCCAGCAATTCTACTGGGATAAGTAAAATACTTTATAAAGTGCTATTTGAAGTTATTGGGTCATGGGCTTTAGAATTTAAAAGACAAGTCAGTCCTCTCAAGTCGTGGATTCCAAATTCAAGGACACAGAGATGCAGTAATGGTCCCAGAGGCTCACAAAACCTTCTACCTTTGGCTGCGAAGATGCCTAAATGCCTTCCATCTTTGAACTGCATTTCTGAAGTCAGACTGCTGAGCATCTAAAGAGATGGAGCATCCCTTCTTGTAGTTTGTCCCACTTGGCTCTCAGCTGAATTTACTGGAGGCTTGAAAGAATAATGGTCCCATCGCAGCATGCATGTTGAATGACATGCCATTGCTGTACAAAACATGTATACCACTCCCCAAAATTCCACAGCTGTGTAACTGGACTTTTCACCTTGGGCAGACTGATTTCCCATCCTTTTTTTAGGGCCATTTATGTCTTTTGTATGTTTTTCTAAGCTTGTATGACACTTGGAGGGTATATCATTTATAGCATGAGATATTTTTAAGAAGGGTTAGCAAGTAGGAAAGCAAGGCACTAGGTCAGCATCCTTTAACGAACACATCTTTTTGCTGCAGGTGGTTGCATAGGGTTTGCAGAACTTCAAGTGTTCTGATTTTATGTCCTTCAATCCCATAACTATTATGGGACTTTTAGAGTAACCAAGCAAGAGAGGAGAATAAGTCATTCCAAAGTATCTTGGATTTTAGAAAAATGAATTTAAAATACATGAGGCACATATTGTGAATGGCTACCAATAATAGTTTGGAGACTACTTACTATGTAATTTCTGGTTTTCTCACCGCCCCCCTCCCCTTCAGTTGACTGGAAACTCTAGGTATTTGTGAGAATCAGAAAAGATGAAGCAAGCAGCCTTTAGCTCACCACACTTTGTTGGTATCTTAATTACTGTTCTATTACTTGGAAGAGACACCATGACCAACATAAATGAAAGCTTTGAATAGAGGCCTTTCTAACAGGCAATGGTGGTATATACCTTTAAGCCCAGCACTAGAGAGGCAGAGACAGGTGCATCTCTAAGCTCAAGACCAGCCTGGTCTATAGAGTGAGTACCAAGACAGCAGGCCTAAACAGAAACTGTCTCAAAAACTGGGGGGGGGGGGGGGGGCTGGCTTAGTTTGAGAGGTTAAGATCATCATGGCAAGGTACATGGCAGTGACAGGCACACATGAGCTGAAGTCCATATCCTGATCTGCATGCATGTAGGCAGCCACTGGACTTTTGAAACCCTCAAAGCCCACCCTCAGTGACACACCTAATCCTTCCCAAAGAGTTCCACTAACCAGACACCAAGTATTCAAACATATGAACCTTTGGGGACCATCCCATTAGAACACAGCACAGCAGGCATGGAAGGAGGCAGTGCAGACACCACCAGGGGGTGCTCTGGTTTGTGCTGCACACAGCACAAACAGCAGCAGCAGACAGTGGATGCTAAGCTAATAGAAGGACTGGTTACTTTAACCCAACTGCAAACGTCTGAAGGAAATCTAACTCTTCTCACCAATTTTTTTGTTTTTGTTTTTCTAGACAAGGTTTGTCTCTGTAGCTTTGGAGCCTGTCCTGGAACTAGCTCTTGTAGACCAGGCTGGCCTCGAACTCACAGAGATCCGCCTGCCTCTGCCTCCCGCGTGCTGGGATTAAAGGCGTGCACCACCAATGCCTGACCTCACCAATTCCTTCAAATAATTCCTTTTAATTATTTCAAGGGGAATGCTAAAAACTGAATTTGTAAAATAGCTTTAGTCAATGATTACTTTCCTAACTTCATATAAGTTCCAGACAAGATTTTATTCATAGTTAAATCTGCAGCAATAAGATCTGAAAATTTTCTAATATTCAAAACTGTGCTGTATTTAAAATATCATTTATTCATCGGTTAAGATATAATTACACATACAAACATTAGTAGTTAATACACTTTTATCTCATTGGCACGGCAAATCATTGGTCACCATTAAAATAATGTGTCTATCAGATTTTTTTTTAATTATTGGGAAAAAAATGGATTTTAGTTATTTTTTTAATTTTATACCCATTGGTGCTTTGCCTGCATAGATGTCTGTGGGAGGGTGTAGAATCCCTTGGTACTGGAGTTGCAGACATCTGTGAGCTACCATGTGGGTACTGGGAATTGAACCTGAACCTGGACTCTATCCGAGAGCAACCAGTGCTCCTAACCTCTGAGCCATCTCTCCAGCCCCAGAAGTGCAATTTTCATTGTATAAATATCCTTTGATCCATATGTACTTCTCTTCTGGATGGTAGAGTCCATTACTTTAGAATCACGAATCAATTCTCACACAGTTTCAATGACAGCAGCAATTTCCTTGAATTGTCTGTAGAAATTCTGGAGAGAAAGGGGAAAAATATTAATTTTGCCTTTACAGTCTATCTACAGTTCCTTTAATTATATACAAGCACCAGATATATTGTCTGCATTTCAATGTTACATCCCTAATGAAGATCACTGAGAAACAAGCACTCCTAGAGGACACAGAATACACAGCAAATCTAAGACAAAGCCCAGCAAGACCACATTTAAAAGACAAACAGGAAGAACTGTCTCCTGAAGAAAAATTACACATGTCCATAACTTCTGCTAGTGTCTCGGTATCGTCAGGGCACTGGCTCAGAAGGCAGACCACGGACAGCAGAATCTGCAAACGTTCAAATCCCTTACATGTATACACAGTAACTGCATGCAGTATCCACATATATGTGGTCACTATTTGTCCCACTGTATGCACAGGCGTAGACATACAATGGAATCACTCATGTATAAAAGAAGAAATCCTGCCATTTCCAACCCAGTGAACCCAGAGGACACTATGGTAACGACAAATCACACAACCCAAGAAGACACTATATGATCTCACTTGTATTAAGAACATCGACCTCACAGACACAGGAAATGGAAGGTGGTTGTCGGGTGCTGGAGGTAGGGAAAAAGGGAAGATGTTGGCTAAGGGTACTAACTAAGCAAGAAAAGTTCTGAGGATCTAATGTACAGAATGCTAGTATGGTTAACAGTAGCATATTGTGAGTCTGTGAGAGATTTTAAATGTTCTTAGTGCACATACATTTATACACAGTGTGTGATGCAGGTGACAATTACCTCCATGTCACTGGACAACATATATTTTTACCAAGTCACACTGTACACAATGAAAATATATAATTGTTATTTATCAACTACACCTCAACAATGCTTCAGGGAAAAGGTGACCTGTTTACTAACTTACTTACTTATTCCCAAAGAAAAAACCCATAGAAGAACACAGAAAAAGAAGGGCCTGGACATGTGAATAACTGAAATGTGTGGGCTGATCTGGTTTTTCACATTCAGCGGATGACTGGGCACCATACTTCCTTTCGCCATGCCCCATTCCTTCAAACACTTATCAATATGAATAAGAACACGTGTGTAGTGTTGTCTACCAAGAGTGCAGTTTATGAAGAGGAACTCACAGGTCATACAATGGTATATGACTTCTCCAGGAGCCCAGAATGGGGAGGGAAAGACTTGGCTTAGATACAGAGCACCTACTTTGAATGAGCAAGGTGGTGGGTGTGATCCCCACATCATACACAAATAAGAAAGGAAGCACAGAGCTGAAAAGATGGCTCCACAATTATAAGCACTACCCGCTCTTCCAGAGAACCTGAGTGTGAGTTCCTACATTCATGTGGCCACTTACAACAGTCTGAAACTCCAGTCCAAGGGATATGATGCCCTCTTCTGGCCTCAGTGGATGTTACATACATGTGGTACACAGATACACAAGCAGACAAAGCACCCATACACCCCAAATGAAACAAGTAAAAATAAAGAAAGCCAAGAACAAATTAATCTTTTATTTCCATTTCATTCACTATGGTTGCTTTTCTGGAGTATTCAACTTTCCTTTGAGAACTGCTTCAGCTACTGAAATGCTCACAGCAACCAAACCAAAATTGTACGTGCTAGTTAAATCAGCTAAGGATAGGCATCTCTCATAATACACATTCAGAAAGTGTTCGGTCCATGTGGTGGGTTTAGAGAAAAATGGCCCTCTAAGGGAGTGGAACTATTTGGACCTCCGACCTTGTTGGAGGAAGTGTGTCACTGTAGGAGTGGGCTTTGAGATCACTTTTGCTCAAGCTTCCCTCAGTATGACAGTCAGTCAACTTCCTGTTGCCTGCAAGCCAAGATGCGGCCATCTGCCTGCACACTACCATGCTCTCCATCGTGACGGCAATGGACTGAACCTCTGAAAGTGTAAGCAAGCCACCCCTATTTTCTTTATAAGACTTTCTGTGGTCTTGCTATCTCTCCACAGCAATGAAAACCCTAACTAAGACACTTCTGTTTTCTTCCTTGGATAGAAGGTAAGCACTAATGTCAATATGAATGCCTATGTTGAAGCATAAACTACAGAATTACTTAACTCTCTAGCTAGTAAGACCCATCAATAGGTATTAACTCTGAACTGCATTTTGTAAACAGTCTACAAATCCAATGTCAATGTTATCCACAGAAAGGATTACTTCTGCTTAAAATTATTATTCAACCTAAAGAGAATACTAAGAGGTTAATTAGAGTAAATACCCTGTAGAGAAGATAAAAGATTCTTAAATATACTCACGGAAAACCATTACAGTAATTAAAGGACACTATACACACATCAGTACATCTTATTCAAAAAAAAAAATCATACTCCTAGAGAAAATAATTTTATACTTTTTTTAGTATGACCTAAGTACATCAACTTGCATGTAAATAAATTAACATTTTCCCTTAAGAAAGCTTGTATACAGCAGTCATACTTAAATTTGGTGAGTTTTAAGCTACAGACCTGAAACTGTGGAATTGTCATTTCGATGGACTTGCTCTTTACTTGGCCAGAATGGTCTGCCACCTTTAGCAACACTGCCACGTACGGGTACTTGAGCGATCTGCATCGGTCAGAGCTCACAGCCATGGCCAGTTTCCACTGAAAATCTATAAGCTTTAACAGAACAGCATGAGTATCACGTGAGAAACACCACTGCCTTAAACAAACACCCAAGGTCTGTCTTCAGTCTTGCATTTGCTTCAGTATTGGTCCCAGTACAAGGAAAGCAAAAAATGGTCAAAGGGAAATGGAGAAAACAAAGGGCATAGGCACAACCAGAAAAGAAGTGGAGAAAAGCAAAATGTCAAACAAAGGAAACTGCTGTCTACCAGATGTATAACAGAAGTAAAAGATGTGGAAAGTGGCTTTCTGTAGTAGGCTTAACTCATTCTCTACTTCGCCTCCCCAAATGCTTTGGGGCATTGACCTTCCTTCCTGTTCCATACGCCATGAGACTAAAACAGAAGATGGGTGACACGGTCCTCACGGTTGCCCAAGGCACACATGGAAACCATCCCAGGTGTTTCAACACTAGTGTCAAGCTCAAGCCTACTATTAGTGATGACGAGGCCTTGGATTCCATCAGTCCTCGTGACAGACACATGCCAGGTGACGTGCTATGCAGCGTATGTGCCTGTTCAGTGCCTCGCTGAATCACCACGGTTTTATAAGTTATTTCCATCTTGCAGATGACAAAACCCAGTTTCAGAGCGCTTAGGTAATGGGATCAAGGTCACACATTTCAGAAACCTTTGTCAGTTTGACTAAATAAAAGCTTCACAACTACCTTGTTGTTAATCCAGTTCCGGATGACGCTTATTCAGGGTTGCCATGGCATCAAACAGGGCTGCGTAAACGCAGCTCTGCACAATGAAAGTAAAAATTTGCCTGTCTTACTTCCAAATACATTAGGGTGCGGAGCAATCAAAAGATACTTGCGGATGGGCTGACTGTCGTTTGCAGTGAAACTAATGATGCCTTGTGATGTACTTCTCTGACAGACACAAGGGCTGCTGACTTTCCAGTTTTTAATTATTAGGACCAAGTAATAATTTCCAAGGTCCCAACATGGTGGACCCATTGCTTTTCATAATTACTCAGGCATGTGGAGGTCAAAGGACAGCTTGAATCAAGTTTATTTTCTGCTTCACACGTGTGCTGGGATTTTACTCAAGTCTTAAGCTTGGCAGCGAGCACCTTTACTTTACCCAGTGAGCCACCCCGATGGTCTTGTGATTTTCCTCATAAATGTGTGGTTTTTGTTTTTTTCTGTCATTACTTATTTTTTGTTTGGTTTTTGGTTTTGGAGACGAGATTTTTCTGCAAAGCTCAGAGTAGCTTCAAAACTGTGGTAACCTTCCTAATTCAGCCACCCAGGTGCTGAAATAAAGGCGCCCATACCTAGCTTGGTAGATTTATTTGCAACATACTGTATAATTTTTTCAAATTGTGAAACTTGTTTAAAATTGTATTTTTCAGGTCATCTTTTCATGTCTGAACATGCCAAAAAAAAAAAAAAAAAAACAGCAAACAAAAAATCCAAACTGATCACATTACCAAACTCACTATTAATTTTAATAGTCTTATAAACTATCTTGGCTTCCCTTGTGTATGTAATCACATGATCGACCACCAGTAAATCACTGTGTGGGAGGGACTGTAGCACACTGGTCACTCAGACACACCCATGTCCTAGTAACAGAGGTGTCTCCAAGTGCGAAACAGACATTTTAAAGATGTAACAAGATCTTAGGCTGCATTGCCCTGGATGTAATCTCAATGCAGTGGGTCTTTGTAGAAGGAGGGTCATAGTCAGGAGATCACGCACAGGTCACAAACCAAGAAAGGTGGTAGCTAAGGATAGGGAAAGATACTCGAGGGACCCTCTCCTCCAGCCACACCCAAACCTTCCTGCACCTTGGCCCTGTAAGACTGGTTTTATACTTCTGACTTCCAAAAGTGTAAGGGGTAGATTTGTGTTGATTTAGGGTAGAAAATTTCCATACAAAATAAAAATAAAAACCTATAGCCCAGTACAATTCGTCTCAGGGCATCTCTAATAGAACACAATACAAAGTGAATGAACAAAACAGTTCATGAAATGTAATGATAATAAATAATAATAACAATAATGATAATAATACCAACTAGGTTAACTCTGGTTGAAGAGATAGCCCTGTGGTTAAAAGCATTTGCTGCTCTTGCATAGGACCCAGGTTTGGATTCCAGCAACCACCCTGGAGGCTCACAACTATCTATAATTCCAATTCCAGAGAATCCAAGGCCTCTTGTGGCCTCCGGTGACCCATGTGTTGTACAGATAAAAAATAAACCTTAAAACAGAAACAAACAAACAAACAAAAAAAAAAGAACAACGAAATGCCACTAACTCATATAGTATACAAAGACAGGTAGGTTTATTGGTATGACAGAGTTCAGTCCTCTCCCAGGAGTCTTCAAAAGCAACAGAGGGTGCTGGGCAGGTAAGTCTGGCTATTTGGGATGCTGGGGCCAGAGAATCACAGGTTTGAGGCTGCAAACTGAGTTTAAGGCCAGACTCAACAGTTCAGTGAGAGCCTGCCTCAAAGTTTAAAAAAAAATTTTTAATTTGGAGACAAATAATAGTGAATAGACACTTTTCTAGGCCCCTTCAATGTCACCATGGGCCACTTCATCACTTTCTTATAGTTTATGCGAAAGTAGGTAACTCCTGTTCTAAACCTCCAGTTTCCTAGAAGAAGTGTTATTATTAATTTAGGAAGCCAAACTTTTTTTTCCCTAATGTGAAATACAAAAAGTTAGAAAAACTATAGCTCATCTTCAGAGTAACTTTTTCTTTTAGAGAAGTGGCTGGGCCCCCGATGACACACGCCTTTAATCCCAACCCCACAGAGGCAGGTGCATCTCTCAAGAGTTCAAGGCCAACTTGATCATCCTAGAGAAGTTCCTGGCTGGCCTGGCCTCAACAAAAAACAAAACAAAAACTTTAAAGATAAAGGAAGGGAGCCAGTTTTTACTGGTGCAAACACCAGTAATCACTCACGTCACCCTCGCGTTAAAAAAAAAAAAAAAAAAAAAAACCGCCACAGTCCTACCTTGGAACAAAGGCTAAGCTGGAACAGGGCTTGGTGTGCACCGTCTGGGCAGAGCGGCCTAGCTGACAGCCGCTACCCGCTCGTGTCCCGGGGGGGAAACGCATCCCCGGGGAGGGACCCACGAAGAGGGGCGGGGACCGCACGCCCGCAGCTGCGGCAGCGTGTGGCGGCCACTCACCTGGCAGGTGACCTGCAACAGCAGCAGACACACAGGTTAGGGGAAAGCCTCCCCGGAGCCGCCCGCCCGCCCGCCCGTCCACGCCGAGCGTACCTCTGACCGGGCGTCCAGCACCGGCTCCCCGAACGCAGGAGACGGAGACTCCTCCATGGCCGGACAGGAACTGGCGGGCGCGGGCCAGCACTTCCGCTTCCGGCCCGCGGCCCAGCCCACTCTCGCGAGGTACGGAGGGGAAAATTAACTTTCACGCAGTTCCGGCTTTGTCTCCCTTAAGCATCAGTTTCAGGACTTACTGCGGAGCGGGGAAGTTCGGCGGCGGCAAAGGCTAAGGGCGCCGGGGTAGGGGGAACCTGGCGGGGACTAATGGCCTTCGGGACGTCGCCTCCCCCTCGGCAGGGAAACGAGTGGGCTCGTCTCTGCGCAGGCGCAAAGTGGCTGCGCGCTGCGCTCGCAGAGAACCGGCTGGCAGGGAGGCGGCCACACCCCTGCGGGGTGCAGCGGGTTGTGTGTGACCCTGACTGCTGTGGTCCGGGATTGAGTTCCCTGGCCCAGCCTGCGGTTAGGAGGGTAGGGAAGGATGCCTTAAAGAAAAAAAAAAAGTCTCTGCTGTCTTTATTACTCCACGTTCCAACCCGATGCGTTCTGCATAGACTGTCCACGCCGATTTTTATTTCCAACTCGAAAAGTACTTTCGGGCCAGTTGCAAATAATAAAATTCGTACACGTGTCATTCACATTTGCCAACGGCCACTGCTTTACTTTACGCATTTGTTTTACATACATATTATTTTTTGTTTTACATACATATCATACATATTATTATTTGTTTTACATACATATTATGTCTACATACATAATAAGGAGGATTTCATCCCGAAACACTAAAGCACTAAGAGCATGCTAACTACAAGCCGGGAAATTTAATACGGATGGAAACAATATCTGTTTATTGACAACTAAATCATCTAGCTGTTTTTTATTTTTTTTAAACAGGGGCTCCCTCTGTAGTCCGTTCATTAGGCAAGCCCATGCTGGCCTCTACCACCAGAGTGCTGGGGTGACAGACATTACAGCCACCTTACTCCAACAATATTCTTAACACTGATAACCCACCCTACCCACAACCAGAATACAACCAAGGGCTCGAATTCTCTTTAGTCCCTTCTTGAAAGCTGCACAAGTACAGCTCCTTCAGAGGCCTGGGGCAGAATCTGTTTTTAAACACATCTGAGTGACTGGCAGACTCAGGTTCATGCAATTTCTGTATTGTGCTGGTTTTTAGGAATTGTCTGCTTTTAGAGACTATTCACATCCATGGTTTTGTGTCCTTGCTGCCACTCCAAAGCCAAGTAGAAGATGTCTCCCTACGGTTTGGTAATCTAACTAGCCAATTTCTCCTCTGCGTTCTTTTACCTTCATTCTCTGTTTTCAGGACTCAAGTGGTTAAATAAGACATGCCCAAATAATCTAGAGTAAGTCCCCTAGGCTTTAAGGTGTATGACTGAAATTATATTTTCTGAGTAGTGCCTGGGTTTCAGCTTTACTGAATAGAAATGAGAATCTTTGCAGGCTAAACTCCTTTAGAGTTCTACCGATCACAAACAGCTCTACAGGATTGTTGAATTGAACTAGTTAATGTAAATACAACAAACACCTACAGCTGTGCCCTGCATGCTGCAGTTGAACCCTAACTACAAAAAAAAAAAAAAAAAAAAAAAAAGATGTCTGTGGACAGAATTATTGGGGCTACTTAAATGTACTAATTAGCTTGGGAAGAGAGTCCCTGAGTAGTCCAAAGGCATGCCCCCCCCCAAGAAAATAGGATGAAAAGATAGAACTCTATGTACAATAATACATCCAGCTGATCAATATATTAGTTCTAATTATCTCACTATATAACTCTGGCTGGCCTGGGACTCACTATATAGACCAAGCTGGTCTTTAACTCACAGAGATCTGCCTGCCTTTGCTTCTTGGGTGCTGGGGTTAAAGGTGTGCACACACCCTGCTAATTTCCTTTTTCTCTTCAGCTCCTGGCTGCTGTGAACAGAGAGGACACATACACATATATGTCAACCTGAATTTTATAAAAATGTTTCCCAAAGGAGAAAAGACAAACATATTAAGGTTAACTTCTGTTAGTTTGCTATATTTTGAATGAATTATTTTTATTTTATTATTGAGGCAGGGTCCCCGACTGTCCCGGAACTCACTCTGTAGACCAGGCTGCCTCATACACCACCACAAGGCCTATGAACTTCGATGACTGTTATTTAGCGGGAGTGCCTCTTTCTGTGAATGAGACTCTTGAAAAGAAGTTGTGTACGGAATAAGGTTTTTCCTTCTGCAGCTGGTCTTGTCCTGCCACTCCACAGCCCCATTTAACACACTGAGACTCTCTCTATATAATGCTGTTGGCCAGGTACTAGTTTCTTATCGGCTAGCTCTGTCTTAAGTATTAACCCATTTCTGTTAATCTAAGTATTTCCATGTGGTTCCATCTTACCAGGGAATGGGGCCTGTGTCTGTTCTCCCCTCTCTCCATGCTGACTCCTCCTTATCACTTCCTATTTCCTCCTTGTCTCCTAGTCCCGCCTATCTAGCTTTCCTATTGGCCAACAGCGCTTTATTCATTAACCAGTATGAGAAACATATTTACAGAATGACATCTCCCATCAAAGTTGTGTCTGCAGAAAATGGCTGGCTGATTAGAATTTCCGTGAAGAGATTTGTTGTGGGAATTAGGTCCAATAAGCCAATGGTATTGGGGTGACTAAGCGCTATGAGTATGGTCCTCTCTGAGGCGCGCTGTCTTTGGAACTGTAAGGGAACTGTCAGAGAAAGGGCTTGGTGCTCCCTTTGGCCCTTTAGGAAAGAAGTTAAGGTGCACAGGCAGAGAGCTGGTTCCCCAGCTCTGGGATGCTGAAACAGCTGGTGACACAACCTGGACTCCTTCTGTCTGGTAATCATTGTGCTTGGATTTGAGGATTTGATTTAATAAAAGGTAAGACAGTCTTCGGGATTCCTGCTTTAGAGATTACAGTGTTGCAGGTCCAAAGGCTAATTACCTTATCTTTGGCTAGTTCTAGTCCTCCAAAACAGCCACTCTTGGCCACTTCTGTGTCAGAGCTAACAACCTGTGACTTAATAGCTAGAAACCCTTTGGGATCTATTAACTTGGCAGACCACTAGCTTCCACCAATCCAAAAGCTAAGAAATGCCATCAGATAGCATCTTGGGCCTGTAGAAAAGCTTCGCCCATCTTTATGTACCTGCCTCTCTGATGTGCCCATCAGTGTATTTATATTTATTTATTATTTATTTGGTTTTTCAAAACAGGGTTTCTCTGTGTAGCTCTGGCTGTCCTGAAACTTGCTCTGTAGACCAGCTGGCCTCCAACTCACAGAGATGCCCTGCCTCTGCTTCTTGGGCTCTGACATTCATTAAAGCCATGTGCCACTGCCACCTGGCCCATCAATGTATTTTAAAGTTGCCTTGATTTATGGCTTTCTTTGTCCTGTAACACTATTAAAAACTTCATGAAACTACTTCCATATTGGAACATGGAATTTGGGTTAAGCTAAGTCTGTGTTCCCAGATACAGTCACTCAATTGGCTCCAGAATAAACTATCTCTTATTCCTTTTAAGATGAGAGCTGTGTTTTTTTGTGTGGTCCAGAAACACTGTTAGATCCCAGATCCTCCTCTACCTTGCTCTCTCATTCTCTTTGGGAAATCAGGCCACATGTCCCTACAGGCTCTCGGCCGGCACATAGACCTGATAAAATATTATCCTGTTTGGCCTTGAAGTTCTCTCCCTCCCCTTTAGCTGTGCACAAGCTTAAGACAACCTTGAATTACACGTTTACTTTATCTGTTGCCTTACTGCTTTGTGACTCCTGGTACAAAGGCTAAGCCAGGCTTGGTCACATGGTATGTAGCTTATAGTCTACCCCACCCTGCTCCTGAGAACCTGTAAGACTCAGACATTCTCTTTGTCCTATTGGAAATGAGGGCTCTTCCATCAGGGCCCCATCACAACCATGGTATGATGATATCCATGTTACTGCTTTCCCACTTAGGGCCCCATCACGGCTGGCTATGACGAACCTCTAGATCTCCTGGCACAGTCCTTCTGAAGGCCTCCTTTCTACAAATCCACTTTCCTTTATAAATTGTAATAAACGCATGGCAAATTGCTATCTCTCAGGCCTACATCTTACAAGATAATAGAATTTACATAAGACTCCTACTTATAAAATACAAATTTGGGGCCGTGTCATGACTCAGTTGGTAAAAAAGCGTGCCACTGAGCCTGTCAACTTGAGTTTGATCTTTGGCACCCACACAGAAGAAAAAGAGAACTGATTGTCACAAGTTGCCTTCTGACCTCCAAAAGCACACGCTCATGGCAATACTACACACACACACATACACACACACACACACATGCACGCACACACATGCACATACACCTCAATTACAAACTAAAAATGTAATGATATAAGATTTGTGTGAAGTTACAAAAATTGCCAAAATTATACACACATTTGTTATAACTTTAAAAAAATTAATTTTAACCCAACAACATCTAACTAGGATATATAAACCAGAAATTACTTTGGAAGTATTTTCAATACGCCTCCTCAGTCTCAGAAAAAATGGATTCCACAGTGCTATATATATCACGAACTCATGACGTAATGAAGGTTGCGGTGGAATGGAGAAAACAAAACGACATTTTCTATTTAAGCATTTATTTTTACTTTTCTTTTAAATGCCCAGCGACACAAATCTGAATCAAACTAGCCTAAGCAAAACAGCAGAAACTATTATCTCACAGCTGTGGCCTCTGAAGCATAAGCCTGAGCACACTGAGAGCCAAGAGAATTGTGAGGCTTGTATAACAAAAGAGCCCAGTCTCTTGGTTCTGAGCTCTGGTTTGGCCTCCTGTTTGTTCCTAGGCTCCATTTGTCTTTCCTATTTGTTTTGTGGGGATGGGTACATAGAGATGGATGACCAGTGTCTTTGGAGTCACAGTCATATGACTAATAAAGAGGAAACCCAAGGTGAAAGGGGAAGCTGGCCTTGGATTTCGATTCTGAAAGAAAGGCTGATTAACCTACTGACTCACATACCCACTGTTGGGCTAATGCTAGCTGAAGGGGCATTACTTTTTGTCTGCTCTGTGGCCTCATTGTGTCTATAAAGGGTATATTTATGTGATTGGTAAAGTCACTAGTGAACCAGAGATGAAAGATATCACTAGC